ATAGTCTTCTAATAGCCTAAAAGACACCTGTAAGCATTTGACAGTATGGCTATTATAGTGTAAATCTAGCATCAGAAGAAGAAACTCAGTCATGATATTTCTGTTAATTCTGTCTGTGAAGTTATTGTTCTTCACAATTCAGGCTGGACCAAAGAAACACGGTGGCTCTGTTTCGTATCCTGACCTTGCCTGCCTTCTGTTTCCTGACTTTCTGCAAGAGTATGTTTCAGATCTCATGGCCTATTTGGGCTCTACTGTCTGAGCAAGCCTTGGGCCGTTTTTTCTGGATAAAGAGAAAGCCTTCAAAGAGCATACAGCCTTAAGTCTATTAACTGAACTAGAGCTTTACCCAGTAATAGATCATTCAGTGCACGTCATCATTTCCCATTATACTGTTATTTTCCATATATGGCTGCTATTAGTCTTTATCCTTTTTATCACATATATTAGAAACATGTTTGTGTCCTCAGAGAGTGTCATTCAAACTATTCAGCTATTTTCTTCCCAAGTTTGTGGCCAAAGTACTAAAACTCAGCTGGGAAAAGAAAGACAGTTTGACAGTTTTCCTGAAGAAATGGAAAGATTTAGACACTTGTGGGTACTATTAAATTCTTTGGGATGGTCGCATTCCCTATAAACTAGAATCATTACAAAGGGACAAATCCAAAGAGTTAGGCTGGACAGACATACAAACTCAATGTCTCTAAATTATTATTTTATTTTATTTTAGGATTGCTAGTTGCTGGATGAACTATAGTATCACTTTGCCCCTTCTCTGGAGGAAACAAACATGGAGAATTAAATTGGATTCATTTCTTAATTCTTTTGGCAGTTTAAAACTGATAATTTTCTATTGCCACCTACTGAAGCAGGTTGATTACAGTAAGCTTCATTTTTTGTAGGGAAGAACCACAAAATTTTTTTTTTTTTAAATTATTCTTTTCAATCACTTGTGGCTGGTGCTTTTAACATATGAAATACTCAGGCCTGAACTACTATTTCTATCCTAAATTGAACATCTCTTTATTTTCTATGCCTCATTTTAATTCACGTTATTAACAGCAGCCTTTGGAAAACTTTTTAAAAAATCTGCCTCCTCTTTTTGTATTATATAAATGAATGCATTTGGTAGAAAATCACTTAGGACTGTACTGTCCAGGGCTGTGGTTTATGAGTCTGTATGGACCATTCATCAGTTAACCACGATTTTGTCTTCCTTCTATCTAGGATGGAAATCCTGTTAAAAGTCAGAAGTATCTTTAAAGCAGAGCTATCAGGTGAGCTTGAGAGCTCAACTTCTGTTAATTTTAATAATATCTAAGAATTCAAAACACAGTTCTAAAAATCACAGCTACTGCTCTTAATCCTGTTGTTACTATAACTCATATAAAATAGCTGACTCATCTGTATCATGGAGTCAACAAGCCACTTTTTTTAATACAGGGAGATTTCTACAAATAAGGGAAGAGCATAGTGAAAATGGCAGGGTAAAATAAGTAACAGATCACTGTGCTCATTATTTTCAAGATTCAAAGTCTGAAAAGGAAGAAGTCAGGAGGTGGATTCTGATGTATTTATCCTGAGTCTGCTAGTGATAACGTTTTCCTGATCTGTTCCTTTATGTGGCATCTCTGTTTCAGAGAGATGGAATGGAGGCATGAGTGAGTTAAGCTCACAGAAGATATCAGTGGCAGACAGAGGAAGGAGTCCAGTATGCTTATTTCCATCTCCACTGGGCCATGCTGTCTCTCACAGACACTGAGCCTGAATTTCTAACTGGCACTGTTATGATGAGCTAGTGAGTGAAGCTATTTCTTTGATTCAGGTTTGGATGCTGGCATTCAGCAGAAGTGCTGAGTCACAAGTTTTCGAGTGCTGGATTCTGCTCACTGAAGACATTCATCATAATTCACCCTGAAAAAATACAGGTAATGCTTGTACTGTAAGATTAACAAATCCAGTATTTCCCATTCAGTTTTCATTATTTATTACTTTTGCACATTTTCTTTCTGATTAGAGTACTTTGTGATGAGTCACATCTGATTTTAAGAAACTACAAGGAGAACAGTCCTATCACCTTATTCCAGGGGACTTCAAATCTAATAAAGAACCTGGCACACTCAGACTAAAACAGTAGATAACATGAGCAAGCTCAGTTCTGCTCAATTTACACAGATGGATTTCTCCACTTGGATAGAATAGGAAGCTTTGAGCAGCTTAGCTGTCTACCTTCAATCTCTGCCACCAACTGTGCTCAGAAACCTGGACATAATTTTGTTCCTATTGAGTTTATTCAAGTGACAGTTTTGCTGCAAAAGAGAACAGTGCTTTTTTCATTCACACGCTCTTTTATTTTTAATCTAAATTAGCCTTTCCACATTTCGCAGAATCGCCTCTTGGGATTTCCCCCCTTTATTTTCCTGTCATACATGCCACTCACCTCTTGGGTGCAAGGCATCGCTCCCTAAATGCAAGGAGCACACTGCAAGGTTTCAGCTAAGGCTAATCATAGCTCTTTAGTTGTTCTCAGTAATCACTGGTGAGTCACATGAAGAACACTCCTCTTATATTTCATGCAAAGAGTATGCCTATGTATTTTTCATCTCTGCTGGTAAAACTGAGACCTATTCTTCCTGCATTGCCTTGTGAATCCTGAGCGCTTCTAGGTCTAAGGGAACAGGGCAGGTGAGCAGCCTTCCTAGGCCTGTGGAGAGCACAGGTTAACGCTCGCACAGAACTCGGGTCACTGCAGGCGAGGCCAGAAGGGATCTGATTCTTCCCATTCAGAGACTTACTTCTGCTCCCGAAGCAGAAAACACAGCTCCAAATTAGGGCCCTGCTCTGCCTGACTTGCTAGGGAACTGGCAAGGAGGAATGGCACAGAACAGTGAAGAAACCTGTAACCAGGATATTAACAAATTCCTTTTCATGGTGACATGCTGAGTCTTTGCCTGCTAGCTAAATAATTATGCAATTTGTGGCCTTGTTGCTGCATATATACATATAATTAAATATATAAATAGATGAAGCACAGTAATAGTATATTTTTTTCTCTCTACTAATTGATCTAACTTCAGGGATTTGTGATTTGACTCTCAGTGGAGACCACCACCTAACATGACAACTTCCAAATGAAAGGGTCAAGGCTGGAGCTGGAACCTGTGCAGAGCTCCATTAGCTCAAGGTGGATATAGACTAAGATTTACTTCTGAGCTTTGTGAAGACCTCTGCATTTTAATTTCTACATACGGAGGTGACATGGTTTTACAGTTAAAATATCAAAAAGTTTGCAGAGCTGCTTATCCTATTAATATAAAGGAAAATTTTAAGAAGCCCATTTATCTACACTGAACAGAATTGTGCCCTATCAAACTATGTGTTCGTGTAATAGGAAAAATCCACTGAGGAAAATTATGTCTGTTGTTCTCCTAGCTCTTCCAGAAAACTAGATGTGACTCATCGTGACAAATCCTAGTCAGCAAAAAAGCAATTAAAAAAATATTTTTAATCCCTGTATTAGATGGTGTTGGAGTAATAAGACTTAGGGTTTGGGAAAAGGTATTTTAGGGGAAAAAATGGCTAGGGCTTTTTGCACCAAAGACTTTGCTTAAATTTCCATTAGTTTTTATGAATTTCTTTTCTGGGATACAGAGCATGTGTGTTATTTGCCCAGCTGAAAAAGGAGAGGAGGAGACAGGCACACAAGTGGCTAATAGTGCTTTGTGGGATGCTTAGCTCTGCTCCAGACCTTCTGTTCTAGCAGAAGTGATTCTAATGCAGCTGCTGGGGATGGACCACCAAATGCTGGCATGGACACTTTCATCTGCAGGAACTATATGCAGTGGGATTTCTTCAGTAGCAAAAATGTTTCCCACCACTTGTTATGCTCCCATCTGCCTTTGACCAAGCCTTGTTCAACTGTGTTTGTGCCATCAGTGTTACTCCAACAGCAAAAATATCTATTTTTTCCTTCTAAACTATTGACCAAAATCACCTGCTATTGCTTTATATGGAAACTGAATAGAAATATTTAGGAGATAATTTCAACCTGTATGAAAGACAGCACTAGAGGAAAGGTTTGGGGGTTTGTTTTTGTTTTGTTGGGTTTTTTTAAACTGGAAGACTAACTAAAATAGCTTGATGTTAAATGGTATTTGTATAGTATGTTCACCAAGGTTATGTTTGTAACCTTACAACAGAATTTGCTATTTCCATAATTTCAAAATAGAAAATAAAAAGGTATCCTGAACTGATTTTTCAAATTCACAGACAATATTTTGCTAAAAATTCTACTGGCAGATTTGCTAACACATTTTAATTTAAACTGTGAATGTTTTCATTAACATACATTTGGCACAGAAAGTCCTAGCTAGAAATAGTGATTTTCTTCCCAGTTGCATTTCAGTGTTTTAACACGCTAAATCCCTACAATATTTCCAGAGTTTTAGTATCACTCAAAACTACAATAATAAATCGATCAAGCAAACCCTCGTGCTGCGAATGACAGGAGGAGAACGGTGAGCTGGGTCGGTTTCGTATTATCCAAGATAGCGGTTTAAAGGGCATCGGACCGAGATGGATTTCTGGCTCGGGTATGGTCTCTGAATTTTTCTAAGTATGAGCCTGGGTGTTCATTCAAGAACCAGAGCTGCTTTCAAGACCGGATTAGCAAAGTTGTTGCCCAGCTGTAAGCGTAACACCTCGCGCGGCCGCGGCGGGGGCTCAGAACGGTGACATTCGTCCTCCGGCAAAGCCACGCTGCGCAGCGGCGGTCACGG